GGGGGGGGGGCTTTTTTTTCAGACCCCCCCCTTTGAAATTTCTGGATGCAGGTCTATAGTGACAGAGAACACGAAACAGATATGACTCTTTTCATTTAAGATAATTTTTGCCGGATTATATCACCAGAGTGTTATAGAGAGGTACGCTAGGGTGAATCCTGGTACATATCCGCCCGCTGTGTGATAAATGGGGTTACATGCCTTTACAACCGCTAGAATGGGTACGCCTGGCTACCGGCCTCTTTCTACTTTCTTGTAACTATTTTCTTCTTTTGATTTATCTCGAGCCAATTGAGAAAATACCGGTCTTTACAATACATAGTAAGAAGGAGTTATTCATTGTTATTGCAGAGAAGCATTATTGTAAGAAGGTGCTTTTATGTTAGAATTGTGAATGCCAGGAAAAAAAGCTTTACTCAATTCTTTCGCGCCAAAAATTCAACCACCGCTCCCATGGATAAAACAATACATATTAATTATTTATTCAGTTCTCTTTCTTCTGGGTACAACAATATATCCTGATACAAAAAACATGTACCTGTGTTAAATACCAACTATTCTGAATAATTTTAGCGTATAAGATATCTCATTTTAGGATTTCATCCGCATCATAGAAAATAAAGAATGGAATACACCGAAACTCGGGGTGCACTTCCCAGGCAAGTCGTTGTACAGCTATGATAATGGAAGTAGGCCCAATTTATTGTCCAGGGCAGTCGTATTGATTTTTTCCTCACAGAAATGTGTGATAAAAACCAACAACAAACAGGCAACCAAACGTCGACGGGACAGTAGTACATATTGTAGGGCATTTCTATAAATAGATTTAACAAGCTCTTTTCGTTTCTTTGGCGCGAAGAAGACGTTTATCTGTGATAAATGGGAGTGGTACTAATTAGCTAAGCGGCTTGAATCCTCAATACAAAAACCTGGGACTTGACAGCATGATCTATCAGAATTTTTTAGGTAATGGCGTTTGTTTTTGGGCTACCATAGGCTGATTAAAATATCGTGGTTTCCCACCCGGACTTAAGTAGTATTTTCGAGTCAGTTAACCTCTGCTTAAACTGCTACCAGTTGCCCCTCCTGTTATCGATCTTGTATCCTTTACTGAAGAGAGAGATGTAAATAATAACAAACGGTTTTTGCGTTATCATCTGAGAGTCAGAGGAATTACGCCGAATTTTTTGTTTCTGATAGAGTGCAGTAGTCTTCACCCTGACGGTCAGGGATTTTCAGTCTCTGCCCATCCAAATAATTGTCACCGTTCACGACTGCACTCTCAGGGTGCATGGTCTGCCCATTCACAACAGCCTTCTTTTTCTTTTCCACTTCAGTATTCCAACCGCAGCTATTTATAATGCAAGTCCTTTTTTTTCTTTTGGGCTCTGCTGCCACCTGGTCCTTGAACGTGTTCAAAATATGACTCATAGTTTTCTGACTCCTTTATGTGCGATGGAAAGAAAGCTACCTCAGAAGGAATTGCATCTCCACAAGCTACAAATTAAACCACAAAAAAGTGCGTCTCTGACATCCTTTTTATTGTTTCTATATGATTAATACTTTTCTACATAAATACATGATGTCAAGCGAAGGCAGTTTCAAATTAAGATTAAACTTTCACTTAAAATTGGAGTATAACAGCTGTATGAGTGATGTAATCTTTATGTTCACTTTTACTCATCAACAGTCGTACCTGTACGCAAATAGTTTTCACCTATTTTACGGAAAGATTTTTAAAATTTCGGAAATATGATATGTGGTGCACGTAGTGAGCGTGTTTTTAATCATTAATATACCGTACACGTTCAAATTATGCTGGTTATTTGTGCAGTGTACTTAATATCCGTCTCTGTTTTGCGCTCTCACGAATATCTCTGATGAGCATTACGAAAGGTTATATTCGTCTACCAGGCGCCGCGTCATACGGTGATGTTTTTTTATGATTTTTCTGGAACCAGAATAATGAAAGCTAGATTTTAAGTTCACTGTGTTAAAATGTGTATATGAATGTGTTTGTGCGTGTGTGCATATGCATATGCATATGTGTGTGTGTGCGTGCATGCATGTGTGTGCATGCGCGCGCGCGCGCGTGTGTCTGTGAGAGAGAGAGAGAGAGAGAGAGAGAGAGAGAGAGAGAGAGAGAGAGGGGGGTTGAGGGAGAAGTACCCTACCCAACCAACTTAGCCCCTATTTTCATTCTCTTCGCAGACTGGCCGTAAGTACTCCAACACAAAATTTTACGATGTAGACAGAGAAATTCAAGTCAGTAAGTCGGTAGACACTTCAAGGCCGAACAGTGATGCCCTGAATTTCAGAGGTTACAACAGAGACATACTGATAATAGATAGGCGTGTTAACAGTGAACCCCAGAACCCCAGGGTGCGTAATGAGAACTGGTAGTGGCTGACTCTTGTTAGGAAAATAGAGCACCAGCTTCTTGTACTTAAAAAACTGCTCTCGTTCTAAATCAATATTACAGTCCGTAGGAGAGACTGCGGAATTCAAGACGTAATCAAAAACAACTGTCAGGTTTATATCTGAGTTACGCAACTTAGGGTGTGATATTTTTTGTTTTTCCGACCCAATTTGGAGAACTGTCTTTAAAAGGCAATATTCAGTCTATTGGAGTACTAATGGCAATGTAAAATCCACTGTAAAATCAGACTGGACGAAGGCGAGCGCATGGAAAGCGGTGTATGTAGAATATTAGCAAACCTGAAATCAATAGTTTCATGTGGAAAAGTGCCTCGGTGGAGTTCCTCGCGTAATAAAAACAAGTGGTAGCGGAAAACAATGAAGTGCCAACAGTGAATGTTCATTATTATTGTTGGAAATGTGGTGATAGAAAAGCTGTTTAAGTCACCAAAGCGCTCTTTTTGCCCTATTTACCTCAACGGGGAATAATTCGTTGGGGAAAACGCAGAAAACATGAAGACAACAGCGGCAGTGGTATTACTCTG